TGTGTGTGTGTGTGTCTATGCACCTGCCGTGATGTCTATCTGTTTGTTTGTTTGTGTGATATGCAAATCAATGTGTGTGTCTGTCTGTGCGTCTGTCTTTGTGTCTAACAATGTGTCTGAGTGGCTGTGTACATATCTGTCAAAATCTTTATCTGTGCATCCTTTTATGCTGTCTATGAACCTATTTGTGAGTCTATATGTGTGTTTGTCTGCGTTTACGCCAATCCAAATGCCCCCCCCCCCCCTGTGCTGTCTATGAGTATGTTTGTGTGTCTCTCTGTACCCGGAATGGACTGTGCGGCAATCGGACTGTCTTCATGTGTTTATCTGTGTGTCAGTCTCTGTCTCTGCGCAAAGTGTGGGCCATGCGTTTTTTCTGGTCGTGTTTATATGCGTTTACCCGTGTGTTTGTCTCTGTTTGTTCGTCTGTGTCAGGAATGGGCCGTTCTTTAATCTGACTGCCACTTTGTGTGTCTGTCTGTGTCTGTGCCAGGTGTGGACTGTGCCGATGACCGTGACGGTTGCCTTGGGGCGCCATGTTCAGTGGGCCAGAACTGCTCTGACGTCACGGCCGTCAATGAAGAACGGACAGGGAAAGGTTACACGTGTGGGCCATGTCCGGCCGGCTACACTGACCAATCAGAGATTTGTACAGGTGGGTGGAGAGAGAGAGAGAGAGAGAGAGACAGACAGACAGACAGACAGACAGACAGACAGACAGACAGACAGACAGAGAGAAAGAGAGGCAGACGCAGAGGCGGTGAGACAAGGGCTGAAGTGAGGGCGGTGAGTGAAAGTTCCAAGATTATTTCATATAGGAATCGTAAGATTTGAACTAACACTTAAAATTTTAGGTTACACGGTCAAACAACAAGACCCCAACATTTCTGTAGACAAGGAAGAGTACAAAATTCAATATGTCCACCTTTACCGTGACGGCCTTTTCTTCCCGATGTTTTGAACCCAAGTATTTACCACGGTTTGATGCAGTTATGACTGGCACGATTTTCTTTCACGGAGGAGCATTTTGGCCCAATTTGATCGTATTCTTCAGGCAGACATGTTTGGTATTCAAGGCCAAGGTCGGGTCCGTTGAATGATAACTATGGCGCACAGCCAATCAGAAGACTACTCCGGGTCACGTGGCTTTGTGGGGTCAGATCTTTTCTTTGCGCGTAGAATGTGATAGACCCTGGAGGACTTTCAGATCTAGTCTGATGAAACAAAGCAAAGGTCCTCTTGACATAGTGAAATGCCCAGCGCCATTACACGAACAACCCGATCCCATCTGATCATACATTTGACCAACAGGTATTCTTCCTTACACAGAAAGACCCAAGAAAATCAGGTCTGGTGCTTTGGTGTGGTTTGCTCCTTCTTTCCAATCGATCATAATAATATTATGTCCTCCTTATCTCTTCTCCTTTTCGTGTTTGTTACTGTCTTGTAACACTGCTATTCATTGTCACTTATTTAAATTAATTGTGTTGCAAGTGCCGTACTTCGCTTACTAAAACTAAAAATCTTGCAGAAACACTGGATTAGCTGGGGACTTTATGACCCATACACACTCTACTAGACACAGCACAGGATGTTTGCAAGGCGGAAAGTTGCAAAATTTGTGTCGGCGGGCTACCCCCACCTCCCCTCCCCCAAAAAGCAAAACAAACAAAAGCCCCCTCCCCCCTTCCAAAAATAAAACAAAAACAACACCTCTGCTAAAGCAACCCGGAGTATCGTTGATGACAGAACCCCTATTTCCAACAGAGGGATGATAACATTTAAGACACTCGCTATCTTAAACTTACAAAGTTCTGTCTGACATATTTGGGAGTTTTGAGTTACTAAGACCATGGCGTTAGAAACCAATAAATGTTCTATGTACTCCATAAAATCGATAGCTTATTCGGAGTTGTTATCGAGATATTGAAAGATTCGCATTCAAAATGTTGTGCAACTCAAAATTTTAAACTTCAAATTTCTCAGAACTAGGTACTGAGGAGATACCTACAACACCTGGAGGCGTCATCTCTGACTCAAATGTTGAAGTGCTATGACCCTCCACCGGTCGCGAACTGTTGTTGCACATTCTGCTATACATGTTTTAAAGTTGACAAGTTTTTTTCTTTATTTGTTCGGTCATTACATTACTTTGGGATAATACGGCGTTAGTTCCTACCTTTTCCACGGTGGCCGGCACAATCGTTTGTGGGTCTTGGTAGGCCTTAGTGTGCCACATATCACGCTATCGTGCCTGGAGACCATTTAAATACTTATCCTTTTGATACCTACCTCTGCTCTCTACATCACTCTAGACCTCACAGCCTAGGTAGACCATCCCAATCACCCGTAGCTGGTGAGCAGATAGAACCTCTGATTAAGCACTTAGCGATAGAGAGGTGTTTATAACGTACACTCATACGTCCTCTGGCTGAGACAATTTGAAAGAGGGGAGGAGCTTTGAGAAATCCAAACGCCTTTTCTTTGTTTTAAGTTTTTTGTTTGTTTTGAACTTACTTTTCCGTACTCTACAACCATATCTCCCATTAAAATACCCAACCCTTTACCCCCACCCCTTTCCCGTTACCAATTCTCTCCCGGTTTCCATCCCTCATCCTCTCCCCTGCCTCTTCCACTTTCACCCCCCTCCACCCAATCCTACCTACCTCCTGTCCCCCTCCCCTCCTCTTTCCCCTTGTTCCCTCCCTCTCTCCCACCCCCCTCTTCCACTCATTCCACTTTCTCCCCGATCTCCCTCCCTATCCTCCTCCCCCTCCACCACCCCACTCCTTAATCCCACCTACCTCCTGCTACCTTCCCATTGCGTCCTCCCTCTCCCGTCAACTCTCCCCTCAACCCTTCCCCTAATCCCATCTAACCCCTTCCCCGCCCCACCCTTCCACCCCCGACACACCCACAGATATCAACGAGTGTAACAACGCCACGCTCAACGCCTGTGCCCACAATTGCACCAACACACAGGGCTCCTACAGCTGTAGCTGTGCCCAGGGCTACGTGTTGGCAGATGATGGGAAGAACTGCAGAGGTCAGGACAGTTCCCACACTTCTCACTTCTACTTCCGAGAACCATCATCAACATCATCATCATCATCATCATCATCATCATCATCATCATCATCATCATCATCATTTTTGCCAATCCAGTAGTATTATATATAACCCAGGGCTGAACAACTGAAGATCAGAGAACAAGACCATGCATACATCCAAATTCTCAAACTGTGGGTTGCTGATTTTTTAAAATCTAATAAAAAAGTGAACACACGATAGTGTACAGATAGTGATGATGAGAGAACAGAGAGAAAAGGTGAAGTAGTACCACAGCAATGAAAAGCCTAAGGAGTCTGATGAATTTGCTGTTTTCCTACATTTCACCCCCCCCCCCCTCAAATGGATTTAAAGTTAAATTACGTTTTGTTTTCTGGTTCTTATCTTATTTTATCTTATCTTATCTTGTAACTTTTTTTGCCAACTACACCACCCCCTTTTTCACAGATATCAACGAATGTGTGGACAGGACGGCCGAGTGCCAGCAATCGTGTCTTAACCACGGGGGAGGCTACTCGTGTGGATGCCAGGACGGCTACAACTTAGCGTCAGACAAAATATCCTGTGTACTAGGTGTGTGTCCGCCCCGAAACACGTCAGTTACATAGCCTGGCCACACACACTTCCTCATACACAAAGATCTTCACCTACCATAGTGACTCATCCCCATACATGCTAGTACACATCCCCATACATGCTAATACACATCCCCATACACGATGGGTGCTCACCCTCACATGCACTTGACGCACATACTTATACACGCTACTTTTACACCTTTTCACCAGCTACCTAAACGCTCTCATCCAGGTGACGTACACAGCCTGATACTCATACATATTCATAGATTGACTCAATCTTGCTCCATAGTCTCCCTCGTCGTACTCTCTCCATACATACATCCAACCTTGTTCCGTATACACTTTCATACACATTCTATACAAACCTTCAAGCTTGCTTCAAAAACCTTCAGACACATTCCATACATACCCCCAACCTTGCTCCATAGACAACCTTTGTACACATGCATACATGCACTCAGCCTATTGTTCCATATACATCCTGGTACGCATTCAATACTCATCCTCATCAACGCTACACAAACGCTTTTAGTCTCATACACACTCTCATACACATTACATTCACACGATCATTCAAGCTTACTACACAACCTGATCCTCCTTACATACACATCATAACCCATGCTACACTTACTACTTTTCTTCCTATCCGCCTCTCCCACTTATATGATGTCTTCTTTACAGACCAAAGCTACGATGCAATCTGTAATCGAACCGGTTGCCAACAGATCTGTCGTGTGGACAACAATACCAAGAACGCAACCTGTGACTGCATGACTGGCTATACTCTGAAGTCAGACAATGTCAGTTGTGAAAGTGAGTAGCTGTACGAGTAGAATGTAGAGCAATAACTGAAGACCTGACAACTAGACTGTCCCCAATTCGAATTTTGCTGAAGGTAAAGTAAAATTATTTTTTTTCAATGATCAATATTAACATTTTGGTGTAAAATGCATCCCCACCCTGGACGTCAGAACCGCACACA